AAAAACCACGAAACCCAAATGTCGGGACCAATGGTTTTAGGGAAGTTCTGAATGTAGAACTTTCAAAATCTCGGATATGAAAGTCCAATTCACAAGCTTAGTGTTCTTTCAGCAAAACGAGAACAAATCTTCGTACAAATCACATAGGGATGTGTGTGAATTGTTTTCGTTTTGCTGAAAGAACGCACACCTTTTCTGTGATCCGTGGACAGAACCTTAAACGGTGGTTGTGTTTAAAATTCCGTAACTTGAAAAGTACATAAGTGATTTGAATGGTTCTTGTACTAAAAGAAAGATTATAAATTGGGCTTTCATATCGTAGATTTTGAAAGTGCTACATGCAGAACTTCACTAAAACAATACTCCCGACATTTGGGTTTCGTGTTTTTTTGACTCACCCTGTAGTTTAAGTACATTTATAGCTCCCGCAACTGCTGTGCCGGTGTCACATGAAAATCCGACTCCTATGAAAATCGGACCCCTTTTCCCTTTTATTGGTTAATCCCTCTCACGTGACCGGTCACTTTCCTAATTATCATACTTACGCATGCGCAGTATTACCAATGAGTCCGATTTTCATAGAAACCTAAATTCACGCTACACCGGAATTAAATATAAAATGCACAGCTGGATTCGGAATTGCATATCCGCCCAAACCATATTGTAATATAAATATATATAATTATGGTAAAGTAAGCTTTTATATATAGTAAAGTCTTTATGGATACGGGATAATTATAGTCCCCAATCGAAAACATTGGAATAATGTAATTGCATTTCTTGCAATCAGTATCAGTTTGATTTTGAGAATTTTTGTGTTATAGCATGGAAGTTTATTGAAGGTACATATAAAACATTTGCTTTTGCTGCAATTTTCAGAAATGGATGGATTTGGGGGTTAGTATTTATATAGCAAATTTTGCTACACTGACCTTTTGTTGGAAGTTTTGTGTTCATAGATGCTGGAAAAACCAAGCAAAAAATGCTGTTCTTGTAGGCTGGTTCCCCTACCCTAATTCAGACGAAGCGGAGCAATTAATGGACGTCGGGGAATTGTCGGGTCAGGGAACCAGGCTAGCTGACTTGCGCCCGTGCACGGATGTGCAAGCGATTGCAAACAAAATGTGGACTTACTAAATTTGGTAAATTGGGGGCAGTATTTGAAAAGAAAAGACAGCTTTTCCAACGATGGTCGGCTGACCATCGTTGGAAATTAATACAAAAAAAAATCCACTTTTCTTGAAAAAGACAGCACACCAGGTGCTTTGATTTCACAGAATGCTCGAGACTATTAAGGTATTTCATGATAATTTGGTAGTCTTGTTTTTTGATGTTTGCAGATGTTGTATATTACCTTTAATCTTCTCCCACTTGTATCACTCCCCTCCCTCGGTGCTACGGCTGGATATTTTCCGATAACTTCAGGTTTGTTTTGTATTCCGTCCGGCATGCTTTTTATCTGTGTCTATCCAAACAGTTGCGTTTGATGGGCTCGCGTCCGGATTATTGACACTCGCCGTAGGCGTATCACAGTTTACATAGATCAACAGTGGAATGTTGAGGAACGAAAGTCAGTGTTTTTATATTGTGTTTGATAGACAAAAAATTGTTGCAATTGTAAAGTTTGCCTTGGCCAAAATGCCATCTTCTAGTGTTTCTTTCGCTATCGGAATAATATTTATCCTAATTTACATACGCTAGCTATCTCGGAACATCTGTTACGTTATGGATTTGCAGACTCGCGTTGCATGCGCATGGTAGCGGTATCAACTTCCAGAATTATAAATGGGCGATTATATCGAATTTTAGACGGAAACATATGCCCGGTATTAAAGTAGAGTGTAATTCCGCTTAGCGTAAAAAAAAATAATTAAATAACTGGATTACCAGTGAAGATTTTGTGTTGGATCGATCGCTTTTTGTTTCGCTGGTGCTCGCACGTAGCCTCGTGCTTTGAGGGATTTTTTTTTTTTTACTGTGTTTTGAGGGGACCCTGTAAACTGCTTGCTGCAGCGTCTCCCCGACTGCCGAGGCCCGCTTGATTGATGCTGCTATGGGGTCACGCACCTGACATTTAGACGAAGCAGGATTTTGGCTCGAATTCAAGAGGAAAAAAATCCTCTGGCTTGTTAACTATCAAGTGCATTATATTCTTCCTCATTACGAGGATTGTGGTTTTTCATTTTTTTTCACAAAGCCAGCACGGACATATCTCATCTCCCACATCGGACATGGCGCTCGCGGGTAATTAAAGCCCATGGTTATTACTTGCCGCATAATATGAGAGGAAACATTAGCATAAAATGTTTATACGACGACATTTTCGCGAAAATAAAGGGTTTGCTCGTGCATTTTTTGGGGTTGCTTGCCATTCGCCAAATGTCATAATGGCGTGAGTTATCGGTCATTAATCATTCCCCGTCGCTGCAATGATATCCTCCTTAAAGTAGACCTGCCCAACTTGAATACACTCGACTTCAGTCTTCGATTACAACTTTACGTATGGAAAGATACTGATATTGCCAGTAAATACACTATATAGGATTTCTCGTTTGTTTATAACGGTCTTTATATACTATTGTATTATAAATGTTTGTCTGTCCGTTATATTTTGTTCTGTTCTGTTACTTGTATATGTTATAAGTACTTACTATCATACTATATTGTTCGTTTAACTTAAAATGCATTCCCTTTACGAGATTCGGCTTTTTGTGTATGTGCCTCCAACTGTTGTTTTTCTTCATGTAATTATTACTATATAGTGTTTGTATGATGGTTTGGAAATAATGTTGAATTGAATTGAATTAAATATGCATCGCTTGATATGACGGTCATACCTCACATTATATTTCCAAATACCTTTTTCGATGAGAGTATTAAAAAAAAAAAATGTATGTTGTTTTGGATAGCATTCTGCATGCGTTACCATTTCAGCTACCCGCATATAGCTTCTGGAATTAATAATGGTCGTTCATTCGCGTCTTTTTTCACAAATTTTTTTTTTTTAAAGAACTGACGGTTAGCTAGAGAGCCAGACAATGTAAGTTGTAGTTAATGGAATGCTATCAGTTATATAGCCACTTTTATGTACATGTACGTCAAGGGTCTTGTTCATTTTGAGCGTTACAGTAAGGCGGCAGTATCCAATGAACGTTTCGATTTAAAAAAAAAAATTGTTTACTTTATTTTTATTTCTTTAAAAAAAAAAAAAATTTAACACCACAAACTTGCTACATAGTACCCCTGTTATCTGAAAGCTAATGCAAAGGAGACTTTATGCCTACTGGATACAAATTCTTTTCCGCTTACCGGTATGCTGTCGGCATATTTTATTTTTTGGAAGCTGATCTTGATCTACCGGTATGTGTTATTCCTGAATTTGTATTACGGAGAAAACATTCTTCATTCACCCTTAACTCGAATCCCCCTTCGCGTTACCTGCTGAGGGCTCCGGAAAAGGTAAATTACGATGTGATGATACTATACTAATGACTTCCCTGGTGTTTTTCCTTCCCTCGTGTTTTTCCTTTAAGGCAATATACAACATTTTTTTGATGTAATTTTCAGAAATGGATGGATTTGACGGTTAGTATTTTATAGCAAATATTGTTACACTGACCTGTTCAAAGAGTTGTGTTCATTAATGCTGGGGAAAAAACAACGAAAACAAATGCTATTCTAGTAGTCTGGTTGACCTTACTTCAGACGAAACGGGGCAATTTATACACGTCGCGGAATTGTCAAGTCAGGGAATCAGACTATAGCTGGCTTGCACCCGTTCACTGATACATGTGTAGCCGTTTGCAAACATAATGTGGACTAACAAAATTTGGTAAATTGGGGCAAAATTTGAAAAAAGGTAAGTTTTTTTAAACATTGGCGGGCTGACCATTGTTGGAAATTCGACTAAAATTTCACTTTTCTTGAAAATGGCAGCACACCAGGTGCCATGATCTTACTGGATGCTCGAGACTATTATTCACTTTCAGTCAAGTGAGATATTTCATAATAATTTGGTAATTTTGTTTTTTGATATTTGTAAATGTTGTTGATTTCCTTTAAACTAGAACTTTGGAAGCCGTAAAGTGATCAGTAGTATTCCGTCGTCAGATTACTGACCGGCGTGGAATGTTTGGTGCTGAGCGTGTTCCTGCATGAATCGGCCGGGTTTTTTTTTTGGAAGGCCGATACCTCGAACCAATAACACTCCGATTTCTTGGATCTGACCTCCTTGCTCCTTCTCAATTTACTAACCAAAAGGAAAAAAGTTGGAGAAACTAACAAACATATGATGCCAGTTCGTTTGAAAGTTCAACACTGTTCGGATCGGGATACATCTGTCGAAAAAATCCTTCTGTGGTTAAAAGAGGTTTCTCGGGAAATATGTTTTACAACATTCATGGGGTGGGGCGGGAACATTGAACCACAAACGGCAAATGCACTCTCTGATCATTTATCATCGGTTAATTTTAGCTCCTATTAATTGGTAGCGTTTTGATTAAAAATGTATGTGATAGGAAGGTGGCGTGGAAGGAAAAAGTCTTTCAAAAAATTCTGCGCAGGCTATAAGTGGACTAAATCGGCCATCACCGCTGATGATATCCAAACAGTCTCTGCATGTAGTAAACCGGTACCACTACAACCGCCAAAATATCAAGCGGCGCCATATTGGAGAAGATATTAGCTTGCACTGAAAGGCCATTATCTACCCCATATTGTTTTGAATTCCCCCTTCGTGTTTCACGCCGTCCTTCCCGCGGTAATTACACTCATTTCTGAAACGCGTCACTGTACAGTAAACCGGTACTTTATCTCTACAATCCAGCCGGAGTTCATACTCCAGTGCTTTTCATTATGAACCAGTTGACCCGTGACTCTGGTCATCTTTTACAGACCGAGTTGAAAAATTGTATGATTAGTTTCTTGTTCTCTGTGTCTCTTTGCGCATGGGAGAGTGATCCTCGACTAATCTAATGTTTCCTGTCTGCTCTTCTCTTTCTCTCTCGCTCTCATTTTATGCAGGTAGCATAGCAGTGTACTCAACGAAGGCATTCCTTCCTGCGTGAAGACGGAAGACTATAACCACTTTTATTTTTTAATGGATGTCCTGGGAGGAAATCGCTGCGAGGAAAGGCCGGGATTTTAGGTCCGAGTGGCCATCTCCCAGACTACGTGTCGCTGACGTGAATGCTAAATCAGTCGAGAGCAGCGCAGACTGGGCCCAATCACCGTCATCCTTAAGAGTGACCCACGCCGGAGCAGATTGACGTTTGGACGGCAGAGACAGCGAGAGGGGAAATATCCTGACTTCCAGATTTCAGTCATCCTGGCGAGAAGCGGAGGGGTTTTATTCTCGGAGATCTTGGATCCTTTCACATCGCCCTGCGTTTCTTCTCGACACCGACTCTGCCAGGTAGACGAGCTTCGGAGAATTACGGCGCAGATTTGCAAGTATTGACCGCTGCCTTGATTACGTTTTCCCCTTGTGGATTTGGATCAGAGGGAGACAGTGTGTATTTGCGTATTTTTGTAGCGGTTTTGAGGGAATTATTAATTCAGCGACATCAGCGACCGCGAGCTATACGAGAATCAGCAACGCGGAGAGGGACTTTGAGAGTCCCCATTGCGAAGATTACATTGCTGAGGATACCACACAGTACAGCGGCAATTATAAATCACCCGAGCCCGGGCCGCGAGCCCTCCTTGGAGTATTTATATTTCCCCGCGATTCGGCGAGAAAGGGATAAAAATCTCGCGATATTAAAACAAGGGGAAAATGTCAACAAATCGGCGGGAGGTAACATTTCGCGCAGCGGGGAAGCCAGGTTGCCGAGGCAACGTGGAGCTTTCAGATATCGCGTCATCGTTTCATTCGGAATCGAGTTTTTTGTCTTCCAACGCCGGCCAGGTGACCGGACAATCGACACCGACTGATTAAGCGGCGACGACCGACTTTGGCTTTCCGGGACGGACACAATGCGATGGAGGTTGGACTAATATGCATGGTGTGGACTCACCCAGATTGTCGGCATGGCAGTGGTAATGGTATCGCCAGCCAATGAGCAATCATGCATAGATTCGACGGAGCAGTTGCTCTGTCAGCAGACCGACGAGACGACGGCAGCGTGTGCAGGCGTGCTGGCGCCCTCATCTGGCAAGCGCACAACGCCTACCACCGACGCCGACAACGACAAGCAACAACAGCTGCATGAGGCGACCGGTGCGACCATGGATTACCATGGCCGTGGCGGAGGCTGGGAGCCACTCTGCAGTCACCACGCTGGGGAAGAGTACGAACTGCAGGCACGGGATGGGGCCGGCTCGACACCGGACTCTCCCCAAACAACCGCTCATACAGGATTACTGGAGAGGGCAGACAAAGATGACACACATGACGGCGCAACCAAAGAAGAGTTGTTCTTTATCGGTGGGAGTACGAGTGGAAAGCACCCACACAGGGCACAAAGTAGCGCCGGCAGCTCCGGCAGCTCCGGCAGGCGACCTGCACAGAAACGCAAACATCTCGCTGAGCCGTCCAGTGACAATCGGTTTGTCAACCTGGCCCACCGGTCGGCTCTCGTGAACGGTACCATCCCCCGGTTCACGCCGCTTCAGCTGCACCGGTCGGAGCGGTCCTGGGCCCGCTCCTCGGCGGCGGACATGAAAGGCAACGGGGCCGCCGAGGGATCTAGCCGTAAAAGCGGTGGCAGCGGCGGCAAAAAGGGTAAAACCCACTACAGTCACGCCAATACGGGCTACAGACTGGGCTTACGGAGGTCTCTGTTCGAAAGACGGAAACAACTCAGTGATTATGCCCTAGTTATTGCAATGTTTGGAATTGTTGTCATGATCGTGGAAACGGAGCTGTCGTGGTTCTTTTACAGTAAGGTAAGGTATCGTTCTTTTTTCTTAACCAAATATTTTTTTTTACCAAAGGATTTAGGCTTACCTGATAAAAGTCATCAGATTTACCTGTAAGTTGTAAATTATACCCGGTTTAAATTTATCATTCATTGACATGTCATCAATTCTGGTGTGAAGTGCCATAAAGACAAATATTATTGTAAATATTTGTTTTACACCTGTCCTGATATTCAAAGGCAAAAGCTCATGCTGTCTGCTGCACAGATACCATTACCCCGTAATCAGGCCAAATATAATTAGGCCTATGCTAATTTATGCACAAATATGCTAATGTATATGTATGCATAATAGCAAACCCTTGACTGGTCTCCCCCCCCCCCCAAAAAAAATATATTTTCATCAATACTCATTGGTCCTTTTTTTGTCGTGGGCCCTAAGTAGACTTTTCCCACTTTTGTTTCAACTTTAATTCCTACAGAATTATTCACAATCCATCATTCATGAGGCTTTTCACATTTCCATACCTGCTTCATGGATTACCGCAGTCAAGCAGTATGTATGCAGTGAGCGTTGAAATCCGATAGGCCCCTACGCGCGTGTTGTGAAACTCCTTCTAGTAATACCCCAGCGTGTGTTACTGTTCATGCACATAATACCCTCTATGCACAGCAGCAGTACTAAACATGGCGATGGTGAAAACACAACGCATCGAGCAACTGGCCTACATATTGCTTGGTGCGTTCAGGCAGTGTGTTTGTCCGACCAACCGTTAGTATTTTGGCATGAGGAACTGAAGTCGTAAGCAGACGCACTACATGTCATTATTTATTCGTGCGACCATGGCTACACGTAATATTCCCATCCTTAATTACCACATCATGTCGGTCTAGGTATCTTGTCCGATCGTTGTCACAATATATGGGAGATGGATTTTTGGTAATTATAGTCATCCGTCGAACAGTTTGTGTTCAGAAGTAGAAAGGTCACCATTTGTATGTGCTACGTATTCACACTGAATGTGCATGTAATATCTTCCATCTGTGGATATTGTGATATTGCATGTGCGCAACCAATACTTTTCCATCCTGGTGGGCAGCGGGGTAGTGGATGCCACGCATACCTCCACGTTGTCGTGGCATTACGAACCGAGAATATGATTGGGTATGGGGATACGAGGATGGGTTTAACATGCGAAACGCCACTCTACCCAAAATGCCAACGCAAACCACAGTTTACCACACAACAATTTGTCCAAGCGAGTAAGCAACGGATACATTAACGTGAAAATATGGTGGCTGTCTCCTGAAGACATCCATGTACATGGCTACTCTGAATGATCCTCTTCTTAAAAAGCCCGTGGGTACCTACATGTAGGCCTATAGGTAATAATATGCATGGTTTACCGACCAACGGTAATATACACATATGCCATAATACTACACGGTTGGCTTGTACTGTACGCCTCCATGTTTACACTCACACACACACACGGGCCAGCATGTTTACATTTTCTATTACATAGCTGCGAATTTCTCAACATTGCACCCAGCAACCGGACAAAAAGAAACACCCGAGTTTTTGTGCATAGTTTTAATGTCACAGTGATATGATATCATGTCATGAAAGGCCCTAAGGTGCTCTGCATAGCTCATTACGCCTATCTACAGTAGATAGCAACACTAATGGCGTCTATCATACTAGCGCGCTGTCCACGCTGAATAGATTGGCATGGAGCCTATGTAATTTTCAGAAGCAAACATGAAAGTGAATAAAACCTGAATGATAAAAGAGAGGATCATTGCGTATGTAAATATTTTGCATTTACCTCAATCGAACCTTAGGCTGACGGAGATAGCGTCTATGAATTATTCCTCTGCCAAATAATACTGCATAAATCCGCATATGTGCTTTTCATACGCATCATGCTTGCGTTTTGGTTCATTAAAAATATGGCTGAGAGGGAAGGTCTTGTTTCTAATGCCACAGGAAAAAACTAAATGAATGCATATAAAATGCAGCTTACATAGTGTACATGAACATCACATCTGGTGTGTCACTGTATGTGTTCATGTGTTTGTTCCAATTTCTATCAAGCATACTGTGCAGTGGTTAGGCTACCTGCATTTTCACCGGATGCTTGTCATTAATGTCCCCCACAATAAACAAAGTGACATACATATTTGGTTCTGGAGCACTCCTGACAATAAACCCACCCAAGCGCCTCTCGATGAAATAAAGAGGCAATTCGGTCAGTCAATACCCTCAATTTATAGTTACTTTTAAAGTGAAAAGTAGTTTTAAAGTGAAAAATATTCATGTTAACCTTTTAAATATCTGGGGCGGAATATCTTTCAGAATCTGAGACACGTATGTTATAATGTAACGATAAACCACAGAAAATGTCGGCGACATGAAGTTGCACTGCACAGTTGAATAAAAAAAGGCCGCATTGTGCATTCATAGGCTAAACGGCAATAATACCGTTACTGAACGCCTGTTCATTGCAGAGAGTTTTATACGTGGTTTTTTCCTGCTTAGTACCTAGAGGTGAACTGTGACTATTGAATGAGGTGGCCCAAGCCCCAATTTAAGACCGACATTCACTCTGTCCAGCCCTGTGCCTACCACCCAGGAATAACAATAAATATTCTCAAACGGCCTCAGACGGCGATGACCTGTTTGTTTCTTTACAAAAAAATAGAAAGATTTAAAATGGCGTCCGTTGTACGGCATACCAAGGTCAATACACCAATACATTGTAGAGATTTTGTTGCGGTGTTGAATGACGTGCGATTTCCAAACAACCAACGTGTGGGCTGTTCCATTTTAGACCTCGATTTCACGAGCCGTGTTTTGTGTTCTGATCGTCTACCAGCAACAAAACGGCACAAAATGACCTTTAAACTTCCCGCAAGTGTGTTGTGCCGGACAGATAATTCGAAACATTAGAATATTTTCGTTGGGATGTGTCGAGAGCAAATAAATATGCGCGATAGCTAATACTCCAAGCACAAATACGACAAGTACAATAGATACATGTCAACTGTCTCTCGACAAGAAGCGTGCGTTGGTTGTATAATTCGTAACATGACATGTGATTTATATACATGTAGTCGAATTTCACTTGAGTCAATATCCGTGAAGACATGAGATACCCACCAAATCATGTTTAAGCTGTTTCTTTATATCCTATCAAATTCGAGTATTATATTTCCGGCAACCACTAGACCATCACAAGTAAATGTTGAAATCGACATACTATATCAACATGTTATCAGTATATAACAAAGTTAGAGTATATGTTATCAATATTATTTCCCCCTTATTAACGGGAATAACATCTATATGGACATAATGTTTATTCAAAAGCTGCTATCGCTTGTATAATACAGTATTTTGAATTGCACTTATATTCGCTGTTCTTATCATTCTCGGTGACAATAAACGTGTCAAGCCAAGATAAGTCTCAATAGGCCTACATGGAAAAGTCCGGGTCTACTTGAATACCTTCCCATGCAGGGACATCTTGCACGCTATGCAATCATCAACCGCAGCGCCCTGGGGTCCCTCCGGTGGAGAGAAAAAAGTAATGCCAACAACAGACATTCACCGCTTGAATAATCAGGGAGAAGTATTATTGGGGGATAAAAGGCAAAAAAAAAAAGTACAGACGCAAACATGTTTTATAACTGCATTTTGGTTTATTACAGTGTATTTGCATCGGTAATGTGGATCACTTGTCTTGAAGTATTGTGAGAAATATAAGTCAAACGTCAGTATTTTTTATCAAAACATATTTGTTTTTAATACTTATTGTATGGCTCTTCGGAAAAAAACACCTTTGAACTGACACCAAAATAAACCGATGATACAGACCAATTCACATATGTTCGTGGTACGGTAATGTAGAACTCCAGCGCTAGCGTTATAAAACTTATTTCGTCACACATATGTATTATTAAAGTTAACAGTCCTATTATAACAAGTCGCATTTTAAAATTGTACACTTGTTTTCCCACCAGCATATAGTTTCTTCCTGATATAGAACATTTAATTGTCGTAGTAATGTCCATAAGGGTAAACAGTGTTGACATTTTAAATATCAGCAGGCTGCATGAGTCTGTTGCATGCAATCCATATGGTGTCCTGCATATCAAACCAAACATTAATTATCTTTCCATTGAAAATTGTGCGTGTACGTTGAATGATTACGTACTATCCAACGCGACAGTGATAGATTATTTGCAAAAGTGGAATAACAGTGCTGCCTGTATTTCTGTAACACCAGGTCTGTGTCACGTGTTGAACTCTGTCTGTAGCCCACTTTCCCCTTTATTGAAATCCCCCCCTTTTTTACAAAAGGAAATCCACTTCGCCATTTTTGGCCTCGCTTTAACCATAGAGCTACAACCCAGCTCTATAGATGTATGCTGTTAACATGAGCACTGAACCATGTCGGCCAGGGTTCTGCTTTAACTCGTCTAGTTTGCCATTAAGCTTGGAAGGCCTTGTTTTGTTACGTACACTGTACAAACTGTGTAGAGAGTTCAAACATTTCTAAACACCTAACCTGAACCCATTTTTTGCACATGTTTGAATCTACGACATGTTTAGATTTGTGTATGTCTGTGGCATGTGCAGCCATCGTACGAAAGCCTGTTGGTGCCATCTAGTTTACATTGTAAAAAATAAATATAAATGACTTACACGGTTCGATTCCAAAATATATGGAAATACACACCCTCCTCTCTTTTTCATCACTAAATATCTAAATACAAAAAGCTCTAAAATACATAGCCTACTTGACTTAATTTTTTACAATTTATTCCTGAATCCTGGTACCACAAACGGATTCCATACTGTGGGAAAAAAATTAAACATGCCGAAGACTGACAATTTGGAAAAGAAGTGTGTACAGAAAAGAGTGTAAGAGTTATATGAAGCGGAGATGGCCGTTAGCGCTTTGTATTGTCGCTGAATAGTCGTTTAGTTAGTGTTCATGGATAAATCCCAAGCCAATATAA